AAAAATTGAAATCTTTAATTATGGCTGTTTCAGAAAAATTCCCAAAGACACAATCCACGGCAAAAAATGAAAGCACAATTACAACCTCCTTTGTACTCTCAACAAATCACATAAACTTATTAACTGACTACAACAATAGTACAGTGTTGATAACTGCCGCCTCCTATCCCTTAAACAAAGCATGTGACATTAAACCTTATTTTTAAATAATACATCCCCCTGCATGAACACGGTATAAATCAGGTAACACTATCAGGCTATTATAACATGAAAAATGTATATGAAAGCGCACTTCAACACACTCATTGGGCTGTCATAGATCGCGGACATAAAACTTCAGCGTTAAACCTTTTATAATCCCCTCCTTGTTTGAGAGAGACCAGTTTATACCCCCTTTGTTTCCTTAGTGACAAATGTTAGACGCTGGATCGCCATACTGAGAGATTGGCGCGGAAGAAACGCTGCCCTGTCCCTTTCTTGGCAGGCAACAGAAGGTTGAACAAATTATTTATGGTTACATTAAGACATTTTATCACCCTGAAAGGGTTAGTCGGTACATGAGATATACCTGGGAGAATCTGGGATTTTAGATTTCTGTTTTATCTTAAGGTGGATGGTCGGGTGCTTCAATATGTTTGTGACGTCACGATGATGTGTTAGACCCCAAACCATTGCCACAATCTGTATATTTAGTTTCTGAATTACATGGTGTCCGTGACATGAATTGTGAGTATTGTTTTACGCCGCTTTTAGCAATATTCCAGCAATATCACGGCGGGGGACACCAAAATGGGCTTCACACATTGTACCACTGTCGGGAATCGAACCCGGGTCTTCGGCGTGACGAGCGAACGCTTTAACCACTAAGCTACCCGGCCGCCCCTTCGTGACATGAAAGAGTTGACAGTGGTTAATTGCTCTGTGTACGATTTTGTGTTATTTGTGCCATTAATAGTGTGTGTGTGTGTGTGTTTGGTTTAACCCCAATTTGAACAGTTTTCCAGTTATATCATGGCATGTCAGCTTAATGTGAGAGAAAACCCTTTGGTGAAACTCACGAGCACGGGTATGGTGTTAACAAACCTAGAAACACAATCGGGGCGAACCGGGATTCGAACCCTAAATCATAGGTTTCTGGCGTACCCAAGGGACGCAACTCTGCACAGGGATTGCGGCACCTTAGATGACTGGTCCACCCCGCTATGTTTGTTTTTTTTAAAATGGTCACCCTGCAAAGATACTGATCAGGATTATTGTTAAGATTTTGTACATTAATTATCACGATCGTTTCTTTTGGGGTAGTAGTAAGTAAAAGGCGAGTATGCTTGTCGTAAGAGGCGACTATTGGGATCGGATGGTCAGGCTCGTTGACTTGGTTGAAGCATGTCATCGATCCCAACTGCGTGGATCGATGCTCGTAATAACAATCACTGGATTGTCTGGTCGAGACTCGATTATTTAAAGACCGCCGTCATATAGCTGGAATATTGCTGAATGCGGTGTAAAATAACAAACCAATCTTTTGGGGTAGGGTGGAAGTTGCATAAAATTACCCATTGCATAAGTAAATATTGTGTTTCTTTCTCTATTGAAGTCATCTTTATCATAATTATCAATATCCAAATATTGAATTATCACTCAGTATAGAGTTGTAATAGAGTGTCCATGCCGATTGAAAATTAGTTTCTCCGATCACAGTAAGTGTTCCAGAGATATTTTCCATTCATGGTGAAAACATTGCCCCTCATTTCTCTACTTAGTACAATGCGTTCTCGTTCTATGTAGTTAGTTGTTTCCTTAAAAGGAATCTCCTCGTGTAATTGACACAATTGACTTCCTACGTTCACCATTGATTGTCCTTCATGTGACATATTTGTTATTTTTAGTCAACATACATTGTTTTTTTCATGATACCTGAAGCATGTAACTCATTTTTTGAGCATTTAAAATAGGATTATCTGAACTGTACTTCTAACTGATTGGTAGTTTTCAATCAATCGGAAACTGATTTAAATACTTAGATACACTGCACTTAGTATAATTTTGTTATACTTCGATACACTGCACTTAGTATAATTTTGTTATACTTCGATACACTGCACTTAGTATCATTCTGTTAACCGGGAATTAATTTCCCGCACACTGATATTGGTTCCACAGTATTCCGGAACATTCTAACTACCAACGGAACTTACTTAGTATAGTTGGGGTCACGGGTGGCCCAGTCGTCTAAGGCGCCGCGATTCGCTGTGCAGAGTTGCGTCCCTTGGGCACGCCAGATTATGTTTCTAGGTTTGTCAGCACCATACCCGTGCTCGTGGGTTTCACCGAAGTGGTAAACGTCTAAGACCTGCATCACTTCGGGCTTTCCTACCACATTAAACTCACACGCCGCGATATAACAACAATACTGTTAAAAGCGGCGTTAAACCCAACTCACGCACTCACTCACTTAGTATAGTTAGAGTGAGTGAGTGAGTTTGGTTTAACGCCGCTTTTAACAGTATTCAAGTTATATCGCGGCGTGTCAGCTTAATGTGGGAGGAAAGCCCGAAGTGATGCAGGTCTAGGACGTTTACCACTTCGGTGAAACCCACGAGCACGGGTATGGTGCTGACGAACCTAGAAACATAATCGGGGCGAACCGGGATTCGAACCCACAATCATAGGTTTCTGGCGTGCCCAAGGGACGCAACTCTGCACAGCGAATCGCGGCGCCTTAGACGACTGGGCCACCCGTGGCCCCCTAGTATAGTTAGACATATTCCTGCCCGGACTAGATTCTCATCGGAACTGATAAAAGTTTACAATGTCACCATTAACATTGAAAGTATTACCAAACAGAAATGTTTTCTATATTAACATTAACTGATTTATTTTCATAAACATTTGTTGTCTTTAATGTTAATATTATTATTGTTGTTATATTTTTGGGTGGTATGTAAGAAATATACATGTCATTTCAGTGTTAACTGTAAGCTGTTGGTCATGGGTTCGAATCGCAGAGATTCGTCCCGTTTGTAGTCATTGGTTTGACAGCACCACACCCTGTGAGTTTCACCAAACTTAAAACCTGCCTTGAACAGTATTTGTTATATCTACCGTAAGTGTCAACTTCATGTTGGAAGAAGGCCCAATGTGATGCAGGTCGTGGAAGTTTATCACTTTAGCGAAACCTGCGACCACGGAATTTAGAATCTAAATCAGGAAGAACCGGGAATTCAAACCCTCGATCATCAAAATGTGGCAAAGGGACGCAACTCTGCACTCAAAATTGCCGCGACTGTAAGACGATGTGTTGACCCGTGCACACATACACTAAGGCAAGTTAAGTTAGCAAACTAAGGAATTATAACTTAGATACACTAGCCATACACTAATTCTTGGCTTACAAACGAAACAATGTTCCACCATATTTTCAGTCCGTTTATATATACACAAATATGAATTTGTTCTTTTCAACAAGACCCGTGAAGATTCCGGGGTAGAATAGGTCTTCGGCAACCCATGCTTGCCGTAAAAGGTGACTATGCTTGTCGTAATAGGCGACTAACGGGATCGGGTGGTCAGGCTCGCTGACTTGGTTGATGCATGTCATTGATCCCAATTGCGTGGATCGATGCTCATGATATTAATCACTGGATTGTCTGGTCCAGACTCGATTATTTACAGACCGCCGTCTTATAGCTGGAATATTGCTGAGTGCGGCGTTAAACAACAAACCAACCAAACCAACCAATCTTTTCAACAAGTGCGTGTTTTGGACGACGAAGAGGTATAGTGCACATGAGTTTACTCGAAGCTTTGAATATTTGAATAGAAGCAAGTTTGACTCAAACTGATTTTCTTAATAGAGGTATTGTTAAAACTGTATCACCTTGCTCGGTGTTACATTGTACGAAATCGGCCTTACACGTTCATTTCTACCGAACTTCAATTACTTGTGGGGGGCACGGGTGGCCCAGTCGTCTGAGGCGCCGCGATTCGCTGTGCAGTGGTACTGAATCACCTTGGGCGTTCCTCCCACATTAAGCTGACTCGCCGCCATATAACTGGAATACTGTTAAAAGCGGCGTTAAACCCAACTCACCCACTCGCTCAATTACTTGTGTGATTAATCAGGTCATAAGTCCACTTGAATGCGTATGATAAATTTTGCAACATAGGTTATGTAATTGATAAATATAATTAATAAATAATAAATTGAATTAGTGTCTGTACCCTCGAAGGGGGTTGAATGGTGTTAAATAATGGTCCCCTGAGATGGTATGTAAGATCGCGTCATTCAAAGTAATTTTATTTCTTCCAGTGTTTTTAACCGCGGACTATTGCGTGTCTTATTTGGCTAATCTTGCGTCTCACGTGCGTTCTGCAAATCTGTGGTCATGGGTTCAAATCCCAGATTCGTCCTGGTTTGTTTCTAGCTTTGTCAGCACCTCATCCGTGAATTTCACCAATGTGGTTTACAAACGTCAAAGTCTAACTCAGGCTTTTCATACTTTCTTCACTACTACTAGCAAATGTACGAATTTGCCATAATTTTTTCTCAGTTTTCTTTCTTAAATATAATTTAATTTTCCCTGATGTAAACGATATTTTTGAGGATGACAATTACAATAATTACATGTAGAGGTTTATGCTATATTATGAATATTATCACCAGATTATCTTTAATTTCAGTCCATTAAAAATGTATGATTCTTTTCATTCATTATAGTATCTCACAAGAAAATCAATAATGTTTGTTACATAATCTGCACGATCATTACGCGCACTTCTTAGATAAGATTAATTCACCTAAAATTCAACGTGTATTGTTGGTGCAATGTGTACACCCTTTCTCACATAACAGACACAAATGAATTACATGAAACCACTATTTCAGTTCGTGGATTATTTTGTGAAGAGTTGATAAATCTAGTGTTCACCAAAGCAGACAAATCAGACTGTTTAAAGTCTTCCTCAGTTACGTCCCCTGTTGAAGCTCTATTATGGAAAAGGCGAGAAATAACCAACTTCCGTTCTATTTCTCACACGTGAAATTTTGTGTGTTGATCGAAATAAAAGCATCTACAAGACTGAAACTATAATCATGGCGTCCTTTACAAAGGCAAACAAGTCAATGCGTCGGACATACAAAGAAAGGAGTCAGGTAATGTGTATTCAAAGGGGCAACTTGTTCGTGTTTACTGTATATCATGCCAGTATTGCCACGAAAATAGGAAACGTCACTGTTTACAAAGTTTAGATATCCATGATACAGCTATCCACATTGCATTAGGTATGAGATTCTCGTGTTAACTGATTGGATATAATATATTATATATGTTTAAACAAATTTCACATCAGGTCGGGCATTTGTCGGATGAAACTGAGCAGTTGAATGAAAACTATCATCCCTCCATTTTTCAGCTTGAATCCAGAGCAAAATTAGGCATGTTGGAGAAGAAAAAGGATTACAAAGAAAGAGCAGAGTAAGTACATATTGCTATTTCTGTGTGGAAGTTAATTGTATGCGGTAAATCACTAGAACCAAATGAGTTACACCCAAGTCTGACTCCTAGAAATTATAGGGAAATTTCTTCTTATATAGAATTTAGACATAACATAGATGAGACTTCCTGTATTCCACACCGTGGTAAAATCCAACATGGCATCATATGTCAGTCAAATGTCTCTTAACATGGGAGATTTCCACCATTTTCTGAATCTGAACTGTCATAATGTTGTATGAGATGCATTAATGAGTATACGCGCGTGCTGCTATAACATGATAAGTACTGTAGTTCCACGATGCACAGCATGCACTCATAATCGGCATGGTGAACCGGAACTACAACATGAACCATTTCTGGTTGAAGGAATATTGATTTGTGCACTGTTTGGGGTATATGGGTACCGTCCTGTATTCTGATTTTGGTTAGGGTACATATCTGTAGTACCCAAGTAGCACTGCATTACTAAAGGTGTATTTGCACCTGTATCAAAAGATCTCATTTAAGGAACATGATGATGAATAAAGAAGTTGAAATCCATGTTAACCCTGTCATAAACTATTTCACCGATGTTTGCAGTAGTGATGTTGTCATACGCAGACATAAAGAGTCAGAAACCATGACAGTGATAGACATTACCACTAGTCCTATAGTCCTCGCCAAACTGCCCAGTGGTTAAGGTATTATAAGAACTTGTAGGAATTTGCAATTTTGAAGGGTTTAGCTATGTGTTATGTTTGTAACTATAAGGACTAGTGATAATTACCATGATTACTGTAAGTATTCTTGTAGGTTAACAGAGGATAAATTGGGATTGATAATCTAACAAATCTGTTTCTTTCAGTGATTTCCAGAGAAAACAGAGGACACTAAAAGCTCTAAAACGCAAGGCTGAGGACAGAAATCCAGATGAGTTCTACTTCAACATGGTGAAAACTCAGAAAGTGGTAAGATGCTGTTTTCAATTTCTGCTGGGGGCCTAGGCGTCTATGGCGCCGCGATTCGCAGTGCAGAGTTGCGTCCCTTGGGCACGCCAGAAACCTATGATTGTGGGTTCGAATCTCGGTTCGCCCCAATTATGTTTCTAGGTTTGTCAGCACCATACCCGTGCTCATGGGTTTCACTGAAGTGGTAAACGTCGGAGACCAGCATCACTCTGGGCTTTCCTCCCACATTAAGCTGACATGCTGCGATATAACTGGAATACTGTTAAAAGCGACGTTAAACCCAACTCACTCACTCTGCTATTGGCTACACATGCTCCTCTTGAGTGTGTTTTATTTGGCATGAAGTTGTTTGGATTGGTAAGGTTATTTTTATTGCTATATAAAAAGTATTTTTGTTTTTATGTCATCTTGTAATTGTCCACCCAGGATGGAGTTCATCAGCGGCGAGAAAGTTCGGAGCCAATGCACACTGAGGACCAGCTGAAGCTGATGGAGACGCAGGACCTGAGATACGTCAACTTTAAACGATTCACTGAGAAAAAGGTATGTAAAGTAGACCTATTGTAATATTGTGTTTGCCTCATAGGGGGGGTGCAGAATAGGTCCCTCTGATACCATGCTCTTTGCGAGAGGTACTGATGGTCCATTCGTCCAAGGCGCTGCAACTCGCTGTGTACAGTTGAGACCCTTGGGCATGCCAGAAACCTATGATCGTGGGTTGGAATCCTGGTCCCGATTATGTTTCTAGATTTGTCAGCACCATACCATGCTCGTAGGTTTCACCAAAGTGGTAAACGTCTTAGACCTGCATCACTTCTAATAATGATCTGGTGTTGATTGAAGATCATTTGTTTGCCTAGTTAGAATAATAAGCAACATAAAACAATGTTCAATTATCCACTCACAAGGACAATATTCACTTTCTCAATCCTAACACAATATTCACATTGTTCACTTACACATTCGTACAATAGTCACTTTGCCACACAAATTGTGAACTGTGTGGTAAAGGTTCGTTAAAATAAGAAAAATGCTAGTCATGAAATATGATGTTGTCAGACAAGTACCATGGTCAATTAATTGGGCTTCAGATTCAAACCATTGTTAAGTGAGTAGGTTTTTATGAAATTCGGGAAAACCACCAAATTTTGATAGTTTTATCAATATTATTGATACGATGTAAATGTACATGTATGATCAAGACTGTCTTGCCTCATCAACAGATGGTTCTATAACATTGTCCTATTCACTATTTATGATACTTTCTACGTTGAGCCCTACATTAGGCATATCATAGTTAATCAGTTTGTCGAGCATTAGCCCAGTTTCGATATACTTCCCACCAACTAAACACAGACAAGATCAATATATGCAACTCAAATGAAGTTGAAGACATGCCATAATAGATTACTAATAGTAATGAAAGAATTGGTTGTTCTTTAACTTCTTGGGAAGGTCATTTCTGGTGTCCCCCGCCGTGATATTGCTGGAATATTGCTAAAAGCGGCGTAAAACCATACTCACTCACTCACTCTTTAACTTCTTTTGAAGAGTATAATAAAAAAAGACAAAACAAGAAAGAATTTGTAAATCCTGTAACTAATGGATATGTAGAAAATTAGAATTATTTTTTCTTTGTTTATCACTGATAATATCAGCCTTACACAGATCTGCATCAAATTTATCTTCACAAGAAATATAAGGATATTATATTTCTTTCAAGTGGGATGTTTATAGTGTCTGTTGATAACACTGGAATTGTTTGACATTTGGCAGTGACTGTTTTTCATGCGCTGCAATTAAGAAACAATGGTGTTAATGTGTGACTCAAGGATTGTGTTGGCTGCACTAACTCCAGCTGCATGGGTCGATGGCCTACATCCATGATGTCTACAGATGAGATGATGGATACGTTCTGTACAAGGGCAGTTGTCACTCACTGTGAGGACACCTTTAACATGGAGCTAATTCCTTCAGGCAACTGCCTCATATTCTCCCTGCCTGGTTTGATTTTGAAAACACATTGGTCCATGACCAATGACAGGGACAGGCTAATTTTTGCACCTATAAAACATGCCATTTAATACGACCCAAGAACGTATGGAGTTATTCTAAATAAATACCAAACATCAACACCCAGTATGTCAGGATGAATTTTTCATGTCAGTGCTCGATTTAGCTGTATGAAACATACACCAGTGCGACCTATTATTGAAAAATGAATCCTAATAAAAAAAATCAAGTTTGTGTATCACAACCCCGACTTGTCAACACATAATGATCTTCATCAAGTTCATTTACCATGCTACATCACTAATCCCTGTGTTCCGTGTAGTTTGTCATGCTTTCTTAGGTTTGTTGTCATCCTGATTATGTGCACATGTTCCTATTATGTTTTACAGCAATAATCATCAATTTGTGTGACTCTGGCAGCAGGCTGGCCTATGTTTCAACTTTGGTAAATTTATGGGAAACAGGTAGCAACCTTGTTTTGTTTGGTGCAACTTGGTTTTCATGTCAATATGCACCTGGTGCAATTCTCAAGGCCATTTATCTTGTGGTTTACAGAAAGTTGAGAAGCTGAAATCTTCACTGCATCTGATAGACAGCGACAGCAAACCAAAAAATAAGCACATTGTCTTTGTAGACAGCAAGAAGGAAGGTGAGTTGTCACCACAATGATGTTTATATTTCATTTCCATGATTAGGGCAGTGTATTAGAGACTCTTTGATGATAAAATTTCATAAACAAACAACTAGGAATTAATGTTTGTATGTTGTTTAACGCCGCACTCAGCAATATTTCAGCTACCGGTATATGACGTCAGTCTGTAAATAATTGATTCTAGACAAGCCAGTCCAGTGATTGATATCATGAGCATGGATCTACCCAATTGGGATTTGACGACATGCATCAACCAAGTCAGCAAGCCTGACCACCCAATCCCATTAGTTGCCTCTTACGACAAGCAAAGACACCTCTCATTGCAAGCGTGGGTTTTTGAAGACCAATGCCATCCCGATCTACACTAGGAATTTCAACCTTGCTATAAGTTGGCTCTTGAATGCAAAGAGTCGGTGGGACTGTAGTTGATGCTATCGCTTGTCTCACATTGTTGTGGGTTCACTTCCTGATAGGGTTAATGGTGTGAGGTGTGTCCGAATGTGATACTACTGTTGTTTAACAAAATGAGAACTTCCCCCAACTTCATCAGATTTCGTCACTTTGCAGCCAAGAACTTTGATCCTGCCAAACATTTTGACACCCATCCAGCGTTTGTGAACAGAGCCTACAACCGCCCTACTCGCAGCATGCTGGAGTCTCTGGACTTGAGTAAGATGCTGGATGAGGAGACATTGCAGGTGAGTAGTAGCTGTCACATGTCAAATCACTGTCACATGTCACCACCAGCACTGTCACATGTCAGAACCAGGACCGCCACATGTCACCACCAGCACTGTCACATGTCACCACCAGCCCTGTCACATGTCACCACCAGCACTGTCACAAGTCACCACCAGCACTGTCACATGTCACCACCAGCACTGTCACATGTCACCACCAGCACTGTCACATGTCACCACCAGCACTGTCACAAGTCACCACCAGCACTGTCACATGTCACCACCAGCCCTGTCACATGTCACCACCAGCACTGTCACAAGTCACCACCAGCACTGTCACATGTCACCACCAGCACTGTCACATGTCACCACCAGCCCTGTCACATGTCACCACCAGCACTGTCACATGTCACCACCAGCACTGTCACATGTCACCACCAGCACTGTCACATGTCACCACCAGCACTGTCACATGTCACCACCAGCACTGTCACATGTCACCACCAGCCCTGTCACATGTCACCACCAGCACTGTCACATGTCACCACCAGTACTGTCACATGTCACCACCAGCACTGTCACATGTCACCACCAGCACTGTCACATGTCACCACCAGCACTGTCACATGTCACCACCAGCCCTGTCACATGTCACCACCAGCACTGTCACAAGTCACCACCAGCACTGTCACATGTCACCACCAGCACTGTCACATGTCACCACCAGCACTGTCACATGTCACAACCAGCACCGTCACATGTCACCACCAGCACCGTCACATGTCACGACCAGCACCGTCACATGTCACAACCAGCACCGTCACATGTCACAACCATCACCGTCACATGTCACAACCAGGACCGTCATATGTCACCACCAGCCCTGTCACATGTCACCACCAGCCCTGTCACATGTCACCACCACCACCGTCACATGTCACAACCAGCACCGTCACATGTCATAACCAGGACCGTCACATGTCACCACCAGCCCTGTCACATGTCACCACCAGCACTGTCACATGTCACCACCAGCACTGTCACATGTCAAATCACTGTCACATGTCACAACCGGCACCATCACATGTCACCACCAGCCCTGTCACATGTCACCACCAGCCCTATCACATGTCACCACCAGCCCTGTCACATGTCACCACCAGCACTGTCACATGTCACCACCAGCACTGTCATATGTCACCACCAGCCCTGTCACGTGTCACCACCAGCACTGTCACATGTCAAATCACTGTCACATGTCACAACCAGCACCGTCACATGTCACGACCAGCCCTGTCACATGTCACCACAAGCCCTGTCACATGTCACCACCAGCCCTGTCACATGTCACCACCAGCCCTGTCACATGCCACCAGCAGCCCTGTCACATGTCACAACCAGCACCGTCACATGTCACCACCAGCCCTGTCACATGTCACAACCAGCACTGTCACATGTCACCACCAGCACTGTCACATGTCACCACCAGCACTGTCACATGTCACAACCAGCACCGTCACATGTCACAACCAGGACCGTCACATGTCACCACCAGCACCGTCACATGTCACAACCAGCACCGTCACATGTCACAACCAGCACCGTCACATGTCACAACCAGCACTGTCACATGTCACGACCAGCACCGTCACATGTCACGACTAGCACCGTCACATGTCATAACCAGCACCGTCACATGTCATAACCAGCACCGTCACATGTAACAACCAGCACCGTCATATGTCACGACCAGCACCATCACATGTCACAACCAGCACCGTCACATGTCACAACCAGCACCGTCACATGTCACCACCAGCCCTGTCACATGTCACGACTAGCACCGTCACATGTCATAACCAGCACCGTCACATGTCACCACCATCCCTGTCACATGTCACAACCAGCACTGTCACATGTCACAACCAGCACCGTCACATGTCACAACCAGCACCGTCACATGTCACCACCAGCACCGTCACATGTCACAACCAGCACCGTCACATGTCACAACCAGCACCGTCACATGTCACAACCAGCACCGTCACATGTCATAACCAGCACCGTCACATGTCATCACATGGTTGATGCATGTCATCATACCTCAAGTGTGTGGATCGATGCTCATGATGTCAATAACTGGATTGTCTGGTCCAGACTCAATTGTTTACAGACAGCTGTCATATAGCTGGAATATTGTTGAAACAAACAAACAAAGCATGGGGTAAAGACACAACATCCAACACATAAGTTTGATCTGTTGAAGTAAAATAACCTTTCGAACTCCTGACATGCCATGTTATCCTACTATCAAGTGGAAGCTGTGAGACAGGGACATATAACATGCATCTATAGTTTCACCCCTGCTTTTGACGAGAAGCTTTGAGCAACATATCCAGCATGCAACAACAAACATGGTGGACATCTTCAATATTGACAATCACATTCATCTGTGGCTTGATGAACCCCAGTGACATGAAGGATTGACGGAAATTATGATGTTTCCCTGATCCTTTGTTGTTTTTCTGCTTTCGAGCATTGATAGATAGAAGTTGGTTGATCAATCAATTGAGTGATGTATTATAAATCAGAAAGAAGTGAAATATTCAAATACTCATTTAATCCCTCATTCAGGGACCAACCAGGGAAAGTACAAATCTCGGATAATTCTTCACCGCCATCAAGTAATATAATATATATAATATTAATATAATCCCAGGCTGACAACTGTTCAAATTTACACTGGCAATGTCCTTTCGTCAGTACTGGTGAAATATAACAACATTATCTTAATATATAAGTCAAAAACAATGCTTGTACCTGCAATGAAAATGCTTAGTACAGTAAGAGCAGAGTTATTTGCCCTTGAAATATCACCTAGGCCAGTCTCTTAACTATGTTGTTTTATGAATCCACCACGCAGGCCTCTTTCAACACCAAAAATTTTTTTATGTTAAGACGAAAGCCTCCAAATTCTAGGTACGAAAAACTCGCCTTAGGTTAAAAGAAATAATAGCCTTGGTTCTCAGGCACCGCCCGCATCATCGTAAAGTTCACCACACTGTTCGTTTTTATTTCCATTTTAAAAACAAAACAAAAAAATCTTTCAATATTCCAAGTTCAACAGTATTTTACCATCAAGGAATAGATTTATTTCACGGGTTGATTGTACGCAAACTGTTTATGTGGTTACACGGCTGTTTATTTGGTTACACAACTGTTTATTTGGTTACTTACTAGTTTGAACAACAAGGATAACCCGCTCTATATTTTCAAAATCCACTGCCTGAGAACCAATTCTTTTATTTTTTTAAGCCTTATATGCAGTGATATACAGTATGCAAAATTAAAACATATTTCCTAATTTAGATTGAATTTCATAATAACGAATGACTGTGTCTATGAATACATTTTGAATCATCAGTGTGTCCCACAGTCAATATCAGACAATTTCCTGATTAATGGCTGTCAACAAAACAACTACAAGAAATTATTTGATGATTAGAAGAAAAAGGAGAGCTCCAAGATTATCTATTAAACATTAATATATGATAAAAGATCAAATTTTATGAGGTGTATTTGATCATTTTGTATTATTTAAAATTTTGACTATTTTCTTTATGCAACATATTTCATTTGAAAAAAAAAAAATTCCAAGTTTCCATAGAAATCTGTTGCATTTTAAAAGAAAGTACATCTGTCTCAGCATGCTCAGTGCAAAAATATCTGACAAACAACAAATTAAGTTCTCGATTCCCACAGTGACACTTTTAAGACTCCCATGTGGAACTCACCCCTCAGGCATTGTAGTGCGCCGCTTGTTTGCCTCACTAGTTAAGGGAGATTTATACAATAACGTTTCGTAATACCACCACTATGGCAATCAATCATACTGTTTGAAACAATTAGTCCTGAAGTTCATGGACCTCATAATCGGCCATTTTGGAGATATAAGGGAAATTTACAATTTTTATTTCATTACCACTCTCGTCTGCATAAACCCCAGCAAAGCACCCCCAGGGGTGAGTAGGTGATCAAGGGTTATGTGTAAGGGCAGTTGCCTCACAGCTAAGCAGCAGACCAGGGCCACTTCTGTTGTCTCTGTGATTGGTGAATCGCTTCATGTAATTTGTCACATGCATTAAATGAATTGTGCAAGTGAAACCATGGATAATTTTCACAAGATTAGTGGATATAATCTGTCAGGTTCATTCTTGATATTCATGGTTAAATTCCACAGCGATACTGACAGTTTTCATTGGTCTTTTTTTGTTGTCAGTTTTTTGTTTTACTTTCGTATGATGTTTTATTTCAAAACTAGTGGTATAGGACAATTGACAGCTTTCGGAGGCTTATTTTGTGAATTGATTGACAGTTTGATGACAGTATGAGAGTGTATTTCTTCTGTTATTTGTTGCCGGGGGACAGGTAGAGTAGCCTAGTGGTGCAGGGGTTGGCTTGTCATGGTGGTGATGGGACTTCTATTCCTAACATTTGTACATTGCCCATTCTTGATGACAAACACCCCACCCCACCCCACCCCACCCTCCCCTCCCCACCCTCCCCACCCTTACCCACCCCAACTCACCCCACCCCACCTCACTTCATTTTGACAATTGAACATATGTCAAGAAAGGTTAATGAACATATATTCATTCTGTTTGCATAGTACTGCACTATCCATTCATACACAAGGTCTAGCATTGTTCTATTGTGTGTTATACCCTGTACTGCTCTATCCAGTATTGTGCAATGTCTAGTACAGCTCTATCCAGTATTGGGGGCAGTCGGGTAGCCTAGTGGTTAAAGCGTAAGCTCGTCACGCGGAAGACCTGAGTTCGAATCCTGACATGGGTACAATGTGCGAAGCCAATTGCTGGTGTCCCCCGCTGTGATATTGCTGGAATATTGCTTAAAGCGGCGTAAAACCATACTCACTCACTCACTCACTCTATCGAGTATTGTGCAATATATAGTACAACACTATCCCGTGTTATGCAATGTCTAGTACATCAATG